TTATATGTGGTGCTGAGAATCCAACCCAGCGCCTCACACATGCTACAAAAGCGCTTTACTACTAAGCCCAAACCCTGGCCTCCCAACTTTTATTCTTGAAATGAATCCCTGAGCCTTTCTTTCCGTCTTTCTTTTTAACATGTCTCTGAGTCTGTAGCAGAAGTTTTGACGCAAACATCAAGAATCTGAATTTTGGGGGCAGGGGTTGTGGCTCAGAGGTAGAGTGCTCGCCTAGCACATGCAGGGCCCTGGGCTCCATCCTCAGCACCACATAAAAATAMATAAATAAAGATATTGTGTCCAACTACAACTAAAAAATAAACATTAAAAAAAAAAGAATCTGAATTTTAGTAAGAATTTTATTTGGGAGGAAACAAAACAAAAAACAACTAATAACAACCCAAGAACAACACTCTTTGGATTTAAGACTGACCTTTCATGGATCTGCCCAGTAAGAGTTCTGTTGCTCCTTCTTTTTTGGTACTGGGGATTCATGCATGCTGCGGGCTTAAGTTTCACCAACCCAACCCCTGGTGTAAGTTTTAGGTATCTGTACTTTCAAGGTATGTGGAATGTGGTACTTAACTAAGTCTATAATTCAGGTCTTCAGTGAACAGATTCAAGAGCATTGAACTTGCATAATAAAATTACATATTTATCCATAAAACCAAAATGGAAATAGTCTAGTTTCTCAAGTAACAACACAAAGCTTCGTTTTGTTCTTGTTCTGCGTACTGGATTGAACCCTGGGGCACTACCTCTGATCCACATCCTCAGCCCCTTTTACAGGGTCTAAGTTGTTGCAGCTGGACTCAAACTTGTGCTCCTTCTGCCTCAGGCTCCTGAGTAGCTGGGGACACAGATGTGTGCCAGCTCGGTTAAAGTTCTGGTTTTAACAAAATTTAAACTTAGTTTTATACATATATAGTTTGTTCCTAACAGCACAACACAAATAATTAAAGCAGCAAGTCGCCTTCCCATACTCCCTTGCTGTTAGAAGCCAAGGAGACACACGTCCAAGTCTCCAGGCAGGCTTTCTGGGAAGGGGGAAAGGCAATCCTCTGCTGGGGTGCCCCTCTGGCTCTGTTCCCTGCATCCTGCAAAGACTGGAGTTACAAGAGCCACCTGGAAACTAAGGATAAGAGCCACATGTAAACCAAAGTGGAGCAGGAAAATATGAGGAGCTGGGGTCCACTGACATCTTCAAGTGGCTCCATTCTGGGACTAAAGGAAACAGAGATTTGTAAAATCCTCAGAGAATAAGGGAGCTCAGGAATCTGACCTATTAAAATCTAACTTATCTGTCAAAATCCCCCTGCCCCCGAAAGTAAGCCCACCAAAAGTAACTGACCAACTCTTCCCATGAGCTGGACCTGCTAAACTCTGTAAACTCAGACCCTTATTGTGCCCCTCCGATGCTTGCATCACTGACACATTGAGATCTCCCTTTCTTATTCTTTTTGTATTCTCTTTCATTTGCTTTCAGGGACTACTTCCAGATTCAAAAGAGAGAAAAAAACCCCAAGGCATGACCACCTGGATTTTCTGTACTTGTGGGCAAATATAATTCCAACATAGATACTAAAACAACTGCCACTTGAGCCAAATACTCAAAGGTATAACGTGGGTGGCAGTGCAATAACTTTATGCCCAAAAGACTCAACACACTTCCTGAACTATCTAATTTAAAACCTTGGGCTAGGGATGTGGTAGAGTGCTTGTCTTCCATGCATGAGGCCCTGGGTTAGATCCTCGGCACACATGCACACACACAAAACACCTTCATATACCAGGAAATATTGGTCCCTTGAATTTTTGGAAAAACTCAAATTTAACTACTCCTGTGAAAAATGAAAATCTTTTAAATGAATAAAACTGGCCAAATATAGAAGTGAATGTCACTAAAGGATAGACAATCTAGACTCCAGAAATAAACCCATGTATTTATGATAACTGATTATTATTATTTGAGTAGTGGGGATTGAACCCATGAGTTCTGTACCACTGAGCTATACATCCCCAGCCCTTTTTTATTTTTTTTCATGGGGTCTTGCTAAATTGCTCAGATTGGTCTCCTGCACTCCAGCCTCAGCCTCTCAAGTAGCTGGGATTATGGGTACGCACCATTGTGCCTGTTTTAGTAATTTCTTCTTCTTTTTTTTTTTGGCACTGGGGATTAAACTCAGGGTGCTTAATGACTGAACCATATTCCCAGCCCACATTTTGAAGAGAGGGTCTTGCTAAGTTGTTTAGGACCTCATTAGTTGCTGAGGCTGGCTTTGAACTTGAGATCCTCTTGCCTCAGGCTCCCAAGTTGGGCATGCACCATCATGCCCACCTTGGTAACTGATTTTTGACGTGGAAGCCAAGATAATTCAATAGGGAAATAATAGTCTTTTTGACAAATGGTGCTGGGCCAATTGGATAACCTCATGCAAAAAGATGAATATAGATCCTATCTTACTTCGTATACAAAAATTAACTCAAAATGGATAAAAGACCGCACTGTAAGAGTTGAAAGTATAAAATGCTTAGGAGAAAACATAAGGCTAAAAAAACATAATTTGACACGGTCAGCTAAAGAAAAAAATAGACAAAAGGGACTTTACCAAAATTATTATTATTATTWTTTTTTTTGTACCAGGGATTGAACTCAGGGGCACTTGACCATTGAGTCACATCCCAAGTCCATTTTATTTAGAGACAGGGTGTCACCAAGTTGCTTAGCGCCTCGCCTTGCTGAGGCTGGCTTTGAACTAGTGATCCTCCTGTCTCAGCCTCCCAAGCTGCTGGGATTACAGTGGCTCTACTGTGCCCAACCAAAATTTATGTGCTTTAAAGGACACATCAAGGAAAAAAAAAAAAAAGACCTCAGTGTTGAGGCAGGAGGATTTCAAGTTTGAGGCCAGCCTCAGCACCTCGAGGAGATGCTGTCTCAAAAACAAAGCCAGGAGCGGTGGCCTGGGAGGCTGAGGCAGGAGGATCTCGAGTTCAAAGCCAGCCTCAGCAAAAGCAAGCTATTAAGCAACTCAGTGAGACTCTGTCTCTAAATAAAATACAAAATAGGGCTGGGGATGTGGCACAGTAGTTGAGTGCCCCTGAGTTCAATCACCGGTATCCCCTCCACCCTCCAAAAAGGTAAAAAACATCCACACAAATTCTGAAAAATTTTTTACAAATTACATATCTGATAAAGGTCTACTGTTTTGAATATATAAAGAACTCCTAAATTACACAACAAAAATGCAAGTCAAGTGAAATGGATAAAGGATTTGAATAAAAATTTTTTCAGAGAAGATGCAAGTGACCAGTATTCACATGAAAAAATTTTCATTATTAATCATTACATACAAATCAAAACCACAATGAAGGGATTGGGGTTGTGGCTCAGCGGTAGAGTGCTTGCCTACCATGCGTGAGGCCCTGGGTTCAATCCCCAGCACCACATAAAAATAAGTAAAATAAAGGCATTGAGTCCAACTACAACTACAAAATAAATAAATAAAAACCACAATGAGGGACTGGGGTTGTGGCTCAGTGGTAGAGCACTTGCCTAGCATGTGTRAGGCATTGGGTTCGATTCTCAGCACCACGTATAAATAAATGTATAAAGGTCTAACAATATCTAAAGACATATTAAAAAAAAAACAATGAGATTTTATTTCACATCCACTGGGGTAGGAAGGAACAAGTGTCAGTGAGGATGTGGGAAATGCAAAATAGCGCAGCTGCTATGGAAAAACGGTCTGGCAGTTCTTAAGAAAGTCAAACATAGTTATGACTCAGCAATTCCACTCCTAGGGCCATAATCAAAGAGAAATTAACATGTCCATATAAAAATTTATACATGAATGTTTTGGCAGAAGTTATAAATAGCCAAAAAATGGATACAAAGCAACTGTTCAGGCACTGATGGATAAACACAATGTGTTCTATCCTCACAATGGAATATTACTGAGCCATAGAAAGGAATGGAATCCTATTATATTCTCAACATGGGTAAACTTTGAAGACATTATGCTAAGTTAAGGCAGGCAGATACAAAAGGGTAAATGTTTGATTCCTCTTACATGAGTGTTACCCTCAACAGGTAAATTCAGAGACCAAAAGTAAATCAGAGGTCATGAGAGGCCTAATGGTTATAGTTTCCATTTTATGCAATGAAAGTTTTGAAAATATCCTGTGCTAGTTGTACAACACTGTAGATGTAAGCAGTGACTCTATACATACTGTGTTATGTACATCTCTCTCATACACACACACAGAAAGGAAAAAAAAAATGAAGCAAAAAGAAGTATTGATACATGTTATAGCACAGGTTAACTTTGAAAACATGCTGTGAAAGAAACCAGACACAAAAGGTCATATATTGGGGCTGGGACTGGGGCTGAGTGGTAAAGCACTCACCTAGCATGTGTGAGGCACTGGGTTCAATCTTTAGCACCACATAAAAATAAATAAATAAAATAAAGGCATCATGTCCAACTATAACTAAAAAAAAATTAAAAAGGCCACATATTGTATGACTCCATTTATATGAAACATTCAGAATAAGCAAATCTAGAGACTAAGTAGATTACTTCTGGTGGAGGGTAGGAAGAGTGGTTGGGCAGAAATGAGGGAGGGTGATGGATAAAAAGTACAGGTACATCTTTTTGGGGTGATGAAATGATCTGGAGTTAGTGGCAATGRGTGCAAAACTTTAGGTATATACTAAAAGCCTCTAAATTGTATATACTTTAAAAGGGTGAAGAGTATGGAACATGAATTTTATCTCAAAAAATTTTTAATTGAATGTCAAAGATAAGCAATAAAGTTTTTCTGACATGAAACGTTAAAAAGTTCTTTATTATTCATTCTTATTAAGCACCAGCTTAATACTGCATAAAATTTCAAGTTATCCTTCAACAACTCACCCCCAACCCCCAAATTCTTGATCAAGAGCTTTTCAAGTAGAGTCATGCTCTCTTCTTGCTTCTGTATAAAACTTTAAGAGATAAAGGCAAAGGGTCGAATACATCTTGCTGTGAAATGCTGCCCAAGGTGCTGGAGACTGGCTGCCCAGGCGCCCTTCATTGCCCAGGTCCTGAAAGACTCTTGTTCATGAACTGTCTCTTCACAAAGCAAGTCCACCACTAACAAGGGAAGACAAGACAGAATGGACACATGACAGTGCAATTTCAAGGTAAGTCAGAATTCAAATTAATTAAATAATAAAATTTAATATTGGTCCAGTATCTCTTACATTATAAATTCCTTAAAGGCACATGTAAACTTTCCTGGTCACTCAAAATATGATGAAGTATATCAATTTGATATCGTGGATTCTGCATCCAAGGATTCAACCAACCATGGATAGAAAATATTAGGGGAAAAAAACTATACCTATACTGAACATATTAGACTTTTTCCTTTGTCACTTTCCCTAAGCAACAGAGTATATCGGCTACTTATATAACATTTATATTTTATTAGGGATTATAAATAACCCAGAGATGATTTAAAGCATACAGGAGGAGTGCATAGATAATATGCAAATATTATGCTATTGTATACATAAGGGACCTGAACAGGCACAGATTGTGGTCCCTGAAGGTACTGAGAGGTGACTATATATCCAAGATATCAGACAAATCAAACCTGTTCTGTGGGTTTACAATGCCCCAACGTAAGAACACACAACTAAAACTTCCTTATTAGATGCAATTCATTGTTGTGATTTAGTCAACTATTATGTACCAAGTACATACTTCAGCAACACAAAAATTAAGTGTTCTTGCAATGGAAGACTTTAGTGTGTTCAGCAGAGGTAAAAGGTGATTTACCAATGAAACAGGCAAAAATAGGGTCCTACCTTGCTGGGTTTATCATTCTGAGGGTCAAAAACTTTCTCACAAAGTCTCAGTCCAGTCTCTTGCCTTAGCTGCTGTAGGTAGGCTCGCATGACTTCTAAAAAAGAATTTAAAACTGGGCTGTAATTTTTGTGTGAGTGTGTGGTGCTGGGGATTGAACCCACAGCCATGTACATGCTAGGCAAATGCTCCACCACTAAGCTTCAGTCCCAGCCCTCAGAATTTAAAAAAGTATTTGAAAATATGCCCAAATGTATTGGCCACTGGTCTAGATATCAACTCTGGCAATATATTCTTTTCCTTCCCTTTTTTTTCCTTTCTCCCTCCCTCCTTCCCTCCTTCCTTTCTTTCTGTTACCAGGGACTGAACCCAGAGATGGTTTACCACTGAGCCACATCCTCAGCCCTTTTTTATATCTTATTTAGAGACAGGGTCTCACTGAGCTGCTTAGGGCCTCACCAAGTTACTGAGGCTGGCTTTGAACTCACAATCCTCCTGCCTCAGACTCCCAAGATGCTGGGACTACAGGTGTGCGCCACTGCGCCCAGCAGCAATATATTTCTATACATTCAATATGAGATAAGAAAAATAAATGACAGTTCAAATGGCTTTGTAACTGTATTAATTTTGGCTCAAAAGATTCTCTGTATGTCATATTTGTTGGCAAGAATTTTTTTTGTGAAAGTTACTTATAAGATAATGTACTTATGCTGAGTTCAGTGGCACATGCCTGTAACCCCACTACTTAGGAAGCTGAGCCAGAAGGATTGCAAGTCTGAGGACAGCCTAGGCAACTTAGCAAGACCCTGTGTCAAAATAAAAAAGAGAAAAGGCTGGGGGTATAGCTCAGTGATAAAGCACTGCTGGGTTCACTTTTAGTACTGTAAAAAATTAAATGAAAAAATAAATAAAAGATGGGCTAGGAGCCAGGCTTGGTGGCACATGCTTGTAATCCCAGTGGCTTGGGAGGCTGAGGCAAGAGGATCTTGAGTTCAAAGCCAGCCTTAGTAAAAGTGAGGTTGTTAAGTAACTCAGTGAGACCCTGTCTCTAAATAAAACACAAAATAGGGCCAGGGATGTGGCTCAGTGGTTGAGTGACCCCTGAGTTCAATTGCCAGTATCTTATTTTTTTTTATATTTATTTTTTTAGTTTTAGGTGGACACAATATCTTTATTTTATTTTATGGGTGTTGAGGATCGAACCCAGTGCCTCACGCATACCAGGTAGGCATGCTACCACTTGAGCCACATCCCCAGCCGATTTTGCCAGTATCTTAAAAAAAAAAAAAAAAAAAAAGATGGCCTGGGGTTGTAGTTTAGTGGTACAGCACTTGCCTAGCACATGTGAGGCACTGGGTTCGAGCCTTGACACCACATAAAAATAAATAAAATAAAGGTAGTGTGTCCATCTGCAACTAAAATAAAAGATAATGTAAGTCCCAATGAGTCCACTCTTAATCTGTATACTGATAAAGGCAAGAGAAGGAGGAAGGAAGAATGTCAGAGAAAACCTTCACATAGATAGGACAGAGATCCTGTTCTTACCGTCTTCCTGTTTGTTCGCAGGTTTGGCATAAATCGCATTAAGTGGAAAACCAGGCTCTCCAGGAATGGGAAAATTAGTGATTCCCAGGGTATACATTTCTTTCTCACCTTGGCTTTTGGAATTGCACTAAAAACAATAACAAAATCACACACACATTTAAGAAGGAATAGGATAATAATGTCCAAACTATAATTTTTTTAGTTTAAGCAGCTAAGGGAGGGGCATAATGTTTTTTGTGTCTTTTGTAGTCTGGTAAATCCTGTGGGCCCCTTCTCAGAGAAATGTTTCAAATGAACAAAACAAAGTAACATAATTAACATAAGAGAAACCAATTATTATTATTATTATTATTAATTTGGTACCAAAGATGGAACCCAGAGGCATTTAACCACTGAATCACATCTCCAGCCCTTTTTATTTTTTATTTTGAGACAGAGTCTAAGTTGCTTAGTGCCTCACTAAACTGCTGAGGCTGGCCTTGAACTTGTGATCCTCCTGCCTCAGCCTCCGCAGCTGCTAGAATTAAAGGCTTGTGCTACTATGCCCAGCTTCAAGAGAAAACAATTATAATGAAACACAATAAAATATCTAAAAATCTCTCTCTCTCTTTTTTTTTTTTWAATTTTTGGTACCAGAGACTGAACTCAGGGGTACTCAACCACTGAGCCACATCTCCATCCCTATTTAGTGTTTCATTTAGAGACAGGTTCTTACTGGGTTGCTTAGCGCCTTGCCATTGCTGAGGCTGGCTTTGAACTCCCAATTCTCCCGTCTCAGCCTCCCCAGACGCTGGGATTATAGATGTGCACCACTGTGCCTGGCTAAAATCACACATTTTTAAAAAGTGCACAAAACAGTAAGAACTAATAGCTAAGATGAGTGAGATAAACTTTGAAATATCTTCAACACCAATATAATATGAAAATATCATGAATTCTATAGAAGAAAAAGTCATAGGCATTGCTAATACTACTGTGGACAGCCTATGTTAATAACTAAAATAAATGCTAAATTTTAGTTATAGGAAAGAAAAATGAAATTTTTGCCACTTAACCTCACAGACCTTTGGATTCTATTCTTGGACTCCAGGGTCAAGAACTCCTGAGCCAAGCGAAATTCTTTGTCAAGATTTTTGTCTTTCACGTGCAAAGCCTTTTGAAATCACCACTATCTTTTTTTTTTTTTGGGGGGGGGGTATGATAGTCAACCACATTATGAATTCGAAGAACTACATTCAGATTTTCCTCTTAAATAAATGCTCTAAGTCAGAGGAAATATGATTACCCAAGTTTAATTACCTTTTGGAGTTTCTTTAGACACTCAGAAA